AGCACAGTCATGGGTGCTACAAGCCATGGTGAAGATGATGCTCTTGGCTGGGGGTGTGCAAGTGCCCAGCTCCACTTTCCTGGTGTCATGCAATCAGGGGGCAGTAAGCGTCCTTTAGCTGTCACAGCAGAGTTTTATTAATTTAGTAGCTTCTGGTTGGCGTCTAGGCCAAAACGTGGCTGGATTAATAATAACCCAAGAAGAGACCAAGACACATCCTAGCGCACCGTGTCAGCACAGATCAAAAGCAGCATCACTAGTGCAAGCCCTGTCATTTTTTCCGTCGTACCCTTCCGTGAGCAGATTGCACTCGCTCGATCGAGCAGTCTCTGCTAACTTTCAATCTGATCCAATTTCCTGCCAGCAAACAAATGTTTCTAGGAAATGCAATACATTAGCTGGACGGGTTTATTATCAGCATTTGGAACCAGGAAAACTGCATATTTTCTCAAGCACTGCAGGGAACTTTATAGTTTGTACTTCAAAAGAGGGTTTAAAAGGATTGCCCTTGAAAGCTGGCCCGGCTCAAGTCTCCGCATTGTTTTGGTCTTTGCAGAAGAAAACGCAGAGGAGGTGGGGGGGAAGCACACTAAAACTGCCTCCAATGTTTTCCACTAAAGAGGACTCCCCTGCCCTCTGCGGAGCCAAGCTCTGACTGCGAGGCAGAGGCAGTGTGTGCCCTTGGGAAGTGAGGTGTCAAGACTTCTTCAGCATTTCAAACGACCCCAAGCAATTTGGCACATTAATTTTTCAAGGGAAGGCAGGAACTGCATCCTGGCTGAAGCGAGGGAGCTACTCCAGAGAACACAGGACAGACACCCTGCCCTGCCAACACCGAGCCCTGCACCCAGAGGCCGGCCCGACAGCAGGGTGCAGTCGGAGCCAGGCATCCCCAGCAGCCGAGCCAGGTCCCTGGCCTGGCTGGGCTCAGAGGAGGTGTCCCATCATCCCCACTCCATACCAGGGTGTTTGTAAATCACCAGCTGGCACCAACCCGACCCTCCCTGTCTCTGCCCTCCTGGGGCTGAGGGTTGCACAGCTCATCTTGGCAGCAAGGCACTGCTCTGGCATCCCACCTGGGTGGGATGAGATGCATATGCAGCTTGGGGTCACATGGCCAGCAGAGAGGCACCCCCTCACTGCTATGTTTATTTAACCGAACAGATTTAAGGAGACCCTTTCAGAGGGTGCCCTGTCCTACAGGACACATTCTTCAGGACCCACTGTCCTGCAGTGTGCTTATCCCAAGCTCTCCCCTCCGTAAGCAGGGATCCCACATTTCTCATGGGCACCTGGCAGACAGCCCAAAGCCAGCACGCTGGCCAGGAGAAAAACAGGGAAGGAAACAATATAACCCCCCAATTTCTCCCCTCTCCCAACACCCTTAGCCCTCCCTGTGTTTTAGATGTGAAGTTCAGCTGAGGCTGCTGGGATTTTAAAGCAGTCCTGAGGACTACAGGCTTGCTCCGATTTAGGGGTGTACGTCTTTTTGGCTGCCAGCATCTTGCAGCAATGGGAACACAGAACATCTAGCGTGGATTTAAAAAAAATAAATAAATTGTGGGGAGGACTAGTTTTGCAGTCTAAATTTGCAGTCTGAAAGAGCTCACTGGTCAGATGCTGAGTTTTGGATAGTCATCTACCCAAACTGCAAACTGTGAACTCCTGAGGTTTGCCAATGCCTGCTGTAAACATGGAAACCAAGTGTCACTTTTTGCCAAACAGAAGAATGGTTTAAAAATAGGTCTAGAGAAGAATACAGGCACTCAGCATACAGGGCTCCTGTTTATAGACTCCCATGCTACTATAAAATGGAGCAAGAGGTTATGAGCACGCAGGCAACTTTTCACCAAAATTAGATTTTACAAAATTCTCCAAAACCTGAAAACAACATTTGAGGCTCCAGCTGAACCAGTAAAAGCTCTTTGTGTGGAGTTTGCAGCCCAAACATCACAGCACATGGACTAAACCAGGTATGAAATGGTTCTTCAGCCTCAATACCATAAATACGTGAAGGTACATAAGCTGCATACTGAGAAATGCACCTACCGGTTAGAGCTTCGTTTCACTCACCTACAGACTTTGGCATAAGATTTTCTTTCTACTGGAGTATTCACATAAAATGAGAAGACACCCACCCCTGTTCCTACAACACAGGACTGCCTCACAAAGTTTTACCACCTGTATTTGTAATGGGTTTTTGAGGACATTACTGTTTACCAAAAGAGAAAAAAAAAAAAAAAAAAGAAACCCCAAACCAAACACCATTCCTACAAATTAATATTAGGCTGCTGCCTTCAGGGCTGAAAGATCCACCCCCACCCCCCCATGCTGGTTTTGGCTGGGGTAGAGTTCATTTTCTTCATAGTAGCTGGTGTGGGGCTGTGTTTTGGATTTGTGCTGGAAACAGTGTTGATAACCCAGGGATGTGTTAGCTACTGCTGAGCAGCACTGACACACAGCTCTTCTGCCTCTCACCCCACCCCACCAGCGAGGAGGCTGGGGGAGGGGGG